TAAACTAAAAGTAGTCTCTGTGCTACAGGAATTGTGGTTTACACACTGATTCTAAAAAGTTTGTTTTCTGGGAATTGGTACAAAGGAAGGACAATGAGGCATGAGAAGCGAAAATTGAGGTGTAATATCCTAGAATATCTTGTAGTCATAATTGAGCCTTCAATTATTATTGTATTTATTTAATCCGATTATTATGTAGCTCTCAAGTTCCTAAGAAAGATCTCCAGGTTCGCATTAATGGGGAATGAGGACTACCAGAAGCAGAGCAATAAACAGCCATGTCAAGAACAGGCTAAAGTGTGTCTAAATTTAAATGAACCAACAGGAGAGATAGTGGTGCATCTAAATGGCAAAGGTATTTCTCATGTCAGAAAAAAATTTTTAGTAACAAATGCTGGCGAAATAAATTCACTGAAAAATCCTATGAGAAATAGCTTTCTTTATCCATACCCAACCAATATTTATGGAGCACCTTTTGCCGGCAGGCACTGGGGCTTCAGACTTGGCCCTTTCCCTCATGGAGTATACAATCTGCTGGGAAAGACCGCCATTAAATAAGCAGATACATTGAAGTACAAGGCGTGTGAAAACAGAGAGAATGGGGGAGCATCACAGGGACACATAGCTGGGGGCCTTAAATGGGGTGGGGAGTCCCTGGGGAAACCATGTTTGCTCTGATATCAAAATCCTTGGAAAATAATACTGTGTTGTACAGATCATAGCTTATTTCTGACATAATTGTGGTTTCATTCATGTTATAGAACACACTTGGACCTTTGCTCATCATCTCTACCCACCCAGCGGTAATATCAAAACATCCAACGACCAGGAACATAGGACATAGAGCAGTTAGAATAGAAGCTAACCATTGTGCTAGGGCAGGGTCCTGGAAGCTGCCTCGTGTGCCGTGCATTAATTGCTCGATCTTGGAGAGGTCTGGGGGTCCCGTGGGAGGAACTATAGCGGAGGAGAATGACTCAGGACCACAGCTATTTACCAACCACGATAGCTTCCTGGTACACATCGATTGCATATCTGCCCTAGGTATACTGGGCTCCTCTATTGGAACAGTCTAGATTAGAATTCAAACTTGACAGGAAAATAAATCCCTTATTGTTTCAGATAATCTTATGGCACCAAACCAATCTCCAAAAAAACAAAGTATTTTAGACAGTAATATGAAGTTGCTAGTTTTACAAAGCATTGGTTTTAATACGTTGAGCACTACCATATTTTTCCATATAGTGCTAAAACATAAAGCATGACATTAAGCTTGCTTGCTTTATTTTTCTTAAGGACAGAAATACAATAACATTATTTAAAGAATTTCAATAATTTCTAAATTTAGGCAGTTTAAAAATATACTAAATTTGGGGGTTATAATTTCATATGATAAGTAAAGGTCAAATACCTCTTTCAATGTAAGAAAAAGGAAGAAACTTTGCCGAAGTTTAAGTGTTTTATTGAATTCACAAAGAGCCAGCAATTGGCTAATACAAAAAAATTACGTTATTGCTTAAAAGGAAAACATAAATTTATCTTTAGAAGAAGAGATTATATTAATTGAGCTTGGACCTACCATTGCATTGTTAAGTATAACAATCTGTTTAAATAAGGCCTTCATTTTTAACCTGGCAAAATATGATGAAGCTAGTTTTCTGGTATAAATCCAAGCTTTGCAAAATCCCAACATGTAATACTTAGGAAATGCAAATCTCCTACTGTATTTATTACATACGAAACTCTTACAGCCAAGGCAGAACTGCTTATATGAATAGCCGATTCAAACTAAACAATGTAAATTCCTGAATTTACTTTTGCTCTACCCTGATGTAAACACTCATGGATCGTCAAGTCAATTCTAAGGGAAGTTTACTTCTCCCTGGCTCTCTTCATTTGCACATGTCAAACAGCTACAAATATTTATATAATAACCTAGTAAAACTGCATAAAATACACTCTAAGAAAAGGGGAAAGGAAAAATTGTTTTACTTTAATCTCAAATTGTAACAGAGTTTGTGCGAAAAGGTGACCTCTGAATCTCTTACATCCTCACATGTTTTTCTCCTGAAAAAGAACCGTTTTTTCTACCACTGGATAAGAGCATTATTAAATTTGTATTTTCAGATTCACTTATGAGCATTCCTCTGGTAAGAGTTGATGCCGCAGATATTCACACCGGAGCTCATTTATCGAGGATCAAAATCTAGTCTGAAACAAAGGGAACTCACACTACACTTCCAAGCGGCTGTGCCCTTTCTAAAACCCAGGAGGAAAAGTGCCAAGTGTTGGGAAGAGCCAGGGCCAAGAGTCACTTCCAGGGCCTTGCAAGAGCTTTTCTGGCAACCTGAACATATTGACAGAATTCATTGGGTCCCATTTTTCAGTAAGTCTCCATTTGGCAGGCATATTTTAATGAAGTAGGCTTTTAAAATTAAGTCTGCATGCTACAAAAATAACCCCAACTCTAATAGATTTGCAGGTCTGGTCATAGTATATTCGTAGGGTCATCCTCCCCCCAACCCCACCCCCATTTACTAATAGAAAGGCAAAAATATGTCCTTTGAAAGAAGCATCTTACATTTGTTAGAAGCTGTGGAGGCAGCATTGTGGAGGGACCAGCATGGGCTTTGGGATCTGACAGGCCAAGATGTGGATTCCTGCCCCCCCCACCAATTAGGTGAATGATCTGAATAAACTATCCAACCTCTCCGAGTGTTCTCACCTGTATATGTCATCTGAGAAAATGACACTTCTTTGGAGGGTTGTTGGGAGAATTAGGAATAATCTATGACAGTGCTGGGCACCCAGTAAGTGCTCAATAAATAACAGCCCTTGATTTTGTTTGTTTGTATTTTGTTTGTGTTCTTTTGTGGTGATTTTGCCTGCCCTTCACCAGCAGCATCTTCCCAAACACCAGTGTGGTGGTAACCTAGACCATTCCTCATGGTGACCCCAGCTCTCCACGGTGGGGGTTCTGCCCCCTAGGGGACATTTGGCGCCATCTGGAGATGTGTCTGGTTGTCACACTGGAAGGGGGGGAGAAGGTGCTCTGGTGGCTAGTGGGGAGGACCAGAGATGCTGCTAAACATCCCACAATGCACTCCCTCCCCCACCAAAGAATGATCCAGCCCCAAATGGCAGTAGTGCTGAGGTTAAGAAACCCTGGCCAACACAAGAATCACAATAAATTCTAGATGCAGGGAAACCATAGCAACAGTCAGAACATCATAAACTTCAAGCTCTCTATGAAGGGAATGAAGGACAGTCTCAGAAATAAGCATAAAATAAGTACGAATAATACTGAACAGGCTGCCTGGTAGGTGGGCGTGGGTGGGTGTGTTTGTGATTTATTCTGAGTTCGTCTTTTTTTTAAACAGTACACCCATTCTTGCTTCAGATATATATATGGAGTGTGATGAAGTCAGTGTTCTGTACCACCAATCTGGAATAAATGGTAACTTGCCCTGTACAAAAGGGGCTTTCAGTAATGCCCAAGTCTTGAAACCCATGAGTTAAAAATATTAATATGATTGGGTATACATCTGGACACTTAAGATCAGTATACTTCATATGTTAATGTATCAGAAGGTTTAAAGGATTGAATGTACAAAAACATTTACTGTATATCCTTCAGTGTGTAGGATTTTTATGAAAAAAATAAGAGAATCTGTGACATAATCCAAACAGGAACTGGACTAAAAGTTAACTTGGTTTTGGAGGCTATGCCATGCAAACCAACAGTATAACTTTAGAGTTTTTATGGCCCCTTGTACCTCTGAAATTCCTGTGGACAGTAAAAGCAACTGAAGTGCAGTTACAAATCACACTTATGCAAGCTGGTTTCCTACCTCAATGACTTTTATTAGTGTACTATGGGTTTTAAAATAAAAGCCTCATTTATGTTTTTAAAAATCATCACTAATTCAGCAAGCCTTGTTTCTTTTGAACCCAAAATTAGTGAGATCATCCAACTCTAATATATTTTGTTTTCTCACTTGAGGAACGATATTTTCAAACACTGCAAAAACCAAAAAGCCAACCTAGGGAATGTCTCAGGTAGAAGTAGATTTAAAAAAAAAAAATGGGGAAGGGAATAAAGTTCAGTAGTAACCAGTATCCTATTCCCTCCTCAAATTTCATGAACAAACATGTATGGCATGGCTTTCCTGCTCTGTTAGTATATAAAAAGTGTCAGAAAATATGCTTAACTTACAATAAGGTAATAATTTGGTTGATTTTATACTACTTAATTTATTTGAAATAGGAATCTTGAAAATTATTCATGGGGGTAAATGTCTAATCCTGCAAATAGAACTAAAAAAGATCACTTGAACTATTGAGAACCTGCATTTTCTGCTTAAATTTTTTTTTAAGTAGAAAGGATTGGTGCTATGGAAGCACTGTGTAAGCATCCCAGAAAAGAAACTCTGACCCTTCCATCTTTGAGATTGTGTGTGTGTGTGTGTGTGTGTGTGTGTGTGTGTGTGTGTGAAGAATTAACAGCACAGGCGAGTCTGTGGTTGAGAAATCAGGTGTGAAGTCAGAAGAGGCAACAATAAAGACACTCAAATTCTGCTCTGTGCTTCGTTCACAGGAACAGATGGGGATTTTAAGGCTGCTATGAAAAGAATGCTGAGTTGCAGCTCTTGATCGTCTAGTCTTAAACTCAGTGACAGAATTTGGTGCGTCTGTTCCCAGATACCAGAACTGTGCTCCTTATAAAACCATGGCATAGCCTCAGCAAAGGCTCAGGAGGAGTGATGGAAAACCACACGGTGTAAAGGACACTCCTGACCAGGTGAACAAGGAGAACATGCAAGAGGTGAGTTCAAGTCAAATGCAAGGTCCTATGTTAAACAGTAGGCTACAAGCCCAAGAGTCTCATCAACCCAGTGAAAATGGAAAATGTCATGTTGGTGAATTCATGGATTATATAGGGTGTCCCCCCAAAATGTATACTCACCTTTGAATAATTATTAAGGCAGTGTGTATTAAAATACATTTCATTTTCAAATGTGAGCTATCAGCCCTTAAAGTGTGAATACATTTTTTTGAACACCCTGTAGAAACATAATGAACTTTAGAGAAAATCGAGGTAAGTGGGGAGTTATCTTCCAACTAAAAATGAAGGAAGACGAGCAACCCCACTCTGTCAGAGGCAGACAGGCAAAGAGCCTGGTCAGGGCAGATGACGGCTGACTCCTGTGGTGTTCCTGTGTCCACCCTTCAACAAGGGGTAACGTGCCCCTACCTCATGGCAGGCGCCAGGTTGCATGCACCACAAAGGCAATAACAACGCCTGCCTCAAGCAGGTAACAGGCTGGTGGGAGACTGCACAATGATCATTAGAATCGTGGATGTACTCACTCTGCAAATATTTCCTTGAGTTTTTGATGAGGCCCTGCATCCTATTTCCACCTGGTATTTACCCAACCAAGAGTATAACAGCTACTTGCATTGAACATGTCTTTCTTCAGGAATAGCTGAGGCTTAGATAAATCTTTGTAGCTGTGAAAAAGCCTGAAATCGTTTAGTTCTAACTCTTTGAGGAGGCTGTACCAGAACCGCACGACACTGCTGTCGCCGCCGCTGACCTCGAACCCGGGCCAGTGGAGATGGATCTCAAAGACGAGCTGTCCAATCTGTTCCAGGACATCTTCCAGAATAAGATTTTCCAAAACTTTCCATTCTGCACTCTCCAGATCTGCTTTGAGAACATCAATCTGTAACATAAGGATAAACGGAGATCAGCATATTCAATAAACATGGTTTAAAATGCCATCGTGCTGTCAGAAGCACCATTGATCTACCTCCCCAGAAAGTAGAATTGTTCAAATTTTAGATGTAAAGGTCTTTTTCAGATGGTCACTTACAAATTTCTAACCTCAATCCATACCAAATATTAACAAACAAATAATGAAATGCCAGTCAGAAATCCTAATGGGCCCTCGTACTTTCTGCCCAGTTGGAACGGATGCCCGAGAAGGAGATGCTGGACTGTGTGTATCACGAAGCTCTGCACCCACAGCCCCTCTCCGGAAACCTACGTGCTGCACAGAGGAACCAAGTGTGTCCAGACTGAACGATGGCCTGCATAGAGGGCCTGACAGAGGACTGCTGGCTGCAGGGACCTCCTCACAAACCACACCCCCTCCAACTTCACCAGGACTGGAAGCCAGGGAGAGAGTTCTCAGGAATATTGGACTTGTAAAAAAATATTATTATGCCATGATTTCTTTAAAAAGTATATACCAGCACAGAATTCCTTTTTTTTTTAAGTGAAAATACCATTCTCTGTTCATTTCATGAATACAAATTCACATTCTGGATGAGGTAGATATGGGGAAAAAAGCATTAGGATGGCAGAGATTTTACAATTAATTAAGGTATGAGAGTCAGCTCCTTTTTGCTGGATTTGCACAAAAGCCATTAGAATAACAGAAAGCAATGAAAGCTAATTCTTTACCGAGCGCCTATATGGGCCTGGCACTATGCTAAGTGCTTCATCTTGCAATATCCATGTACTCCCCTCAACAATTCTGAAAGGATGGTTCTCTTCGTGTCCCTATGTAGAGTTTAGGAGACAGACTCACAATAACCCATCCCGTCACACAGCTGGAGGGGCAGAAGTGAAATTAGAACCGAACCTGTCTCCTGGCCCATGTCTTAACCACTACACAATGTTGACTCCCCATAAACCACAAGAGGAACAATAGTAACTCGGAGTCCCTAAAAGGCTTTGGTTTGGAAAATAAGGCACGATCGGAGAGCGAGTAAAGGTCTGTGAGTAGAAGTATTGTTATCGACATCACCGCTGTACATTTGCAGAGCACTTTCCCACTTAAAGAATTACTTTCTACATCTATCATCTCAGTTAAGCAGCCCCATCAGCAGACAAGGATTTGGTAAAGGTGACTTACAAGGAATAAAGAGAAGTGGAAGTGGATAATTAGACCACCAAGGAGGGTGACAACATTCAGACACAGACTAGAATGAAGAGGATGGAGGGGTCACTGCAGTAGAGCAAAGGCCAGCTCCCCAAGAGGTGACAGCACCACACTAATAGCCCTTCAGGAAGTGCCGACTGGAGTCACCATATCCAGCCCTTGAGAGTAGAATATTTTTGCCTGTGTAGAGGGATGGATAAGGACCAAGACCAATTCTGGCCCAGCCTCTCCTCTCTCTCAGCGCATGGCTGTTTGATAAGTTTCTCAGATGCAGCTGAGTCATCAGGCTCTCAGTGCAGTGGTAGCATTTCTTGCGGGATTTCAGAGTTGGATAGAGAAGATGCATAGAATTTAGACATAATTGCCCCAAAGAAAGGGTCTTTGCCCAGCATCCTGAGATCCTGTGAGAGACACTTTCATCCTCTTGCCTTGGCTACTCCCTCCTGGTCCATCAGAGAAAGAGTAATGATGATAACAACCCCAAGATTACCAAGAGGCCTGAGAAAAGGGTAGATATCTATAAAGCAGCTGGTTGGTTCAACAGTTTCAAAATGAAAGAGGAAAACTTAAAATAAACAAAAAACAACTTTCTTTTCTGAAAGGAACAGAGCAAAGACAGGTTCCATGTGAACATACACAAGGCTAAAATAATTCTTGTCAATTGGATGCAATAGAATTAATTTGCCCCTTTTTTCATCTCTGTGGTCTTGGCACTTCTTGGCTTTGTTTAATTTTTGAAGTCTAAGGCAGAATATTCCTGAATGAGGGTAATTAAGCTGCCAAAAGAGATATTTAATCAAAACTTCAAAACACTCTCTAATTGGTACAGAAAATATCCAAAACCAAAAATCAACAATTGTTATGCCAATTCACATAGTCAAGAATTTCTTAGGTTCCTTATGGATTTATTGTCTTACTATGGTTTTCTGTTAGTTTGCATATGTTGAATGATCAATAAATTAAAGCATTAAAGGGACAGGGTAAAGCTAATCAGCCTAAAATTGGCCTAAAAACTATAATTATGAAATATAGAGGAATTACTTCACATATTTTTTCCAAACATTTTTAAAATAAGCTATTAATCAGAAGTTATGAGCAACTGGAAAATAACCAAATTATTAGGCTAAATCACAGCAAATATATGCCTTTAATATGCATTCTTTGGAAATCCAATCTTAATTTACAAAATGTCAATCCATTCTAAAGATCAAAAATTATATTCAAACATGACAACATCCACACCCCCTTTTGATTTCCGTGACTGAAAATTCTCTACTTCAATCAGAATTGCACAGGTTAGTCTATCTCATGCAGCCCAGGCGTAGTGTGGCACTGAGGAGCACAGATAATCAAATGCTGTGATTAAAACATGGTTTTCTCTTACACTGTGATTCTTCTATTTCTAGCATTTCAGAATGTTCTATTACTACTATTTTGCAAATATAATTTCCATTATTACTGCATAATGCACCCACTATTATTATTATTAAAAGGCTCTAAACATCTCTGAATAAGATATGCCAATTGTAATATACTAATACCAGTTTTCTACAATTGTGGCACTAAAAATCATTCAAATGATCATATCAGAATATTCAAGTGCAATCCTAATACAGTTAGGTTAAATAGAGTTTCTTGAGAAAAACAAAAAACAAACAAAAAAACAAAACCTGTTAACTGTCTGCAATCTCCAGAATGGCTGAAGACATTCTTGGTTAGAAGGGTCTCAAAGAAGGTAGATGAAACAAAGTTTTGGTATAATTTCAGAGGCATTTAAAGGGTTTAATTATAATTTTAACAGTTTTATTATTTTTTAGTCCTCATCTGAGGATATTTTTTCCATTGATTTTTTTTAAGAGAGAGTGGAAGGGAAGAAGGGAAGGAAGAGAGAAAGAGAGAGCGAGCGAGGGAGAGAGAGAGAGAGAGAGCGAGAGAGAGAGAGAGAGAGCGAGAGAGAGAGAGAGAGAGCGAGAGAGAGAGAGAGAGAGCGAGAGAGAGAGAGAGAGAGCAATACTGGTGGGAGAGAGACACATAAATTGGTTGTCTCCCGCTTTCACCCCACCCAGGGTGGGGATCAAACCTGCAGCCCAGGTACATGCCCTTGACCAGGAATTAAATCTCTGACCCTTTGATTCCCAGTCTAATGCTCTAACCTTGAACCCCACTGGCAGAGCTCAATCATAATTTTAAAATAATTATGTCAATACAACTTCTTCCTGCTTTTTGGATTAATTACGAAAAGTTGTTTTTAATGATTAAACCAAATCCAAGCTTTTATATATCAAGTCTCCTTAAAGCAAGGTATGTATATCTGCACCTACACAACTAAAGCTGAACACATTAAAAAGAGGATCATGTTCTTGTAGAAAATAGAAGAAATTAATCTATCTTAAAGGAACAGGAGGATTAAAAGTCTCTTTAAGAGCCTTAGACTTTAAACACATTAGATCAGGTTCAATGATCACTGTGGGCTGGCAGCAATGTAACATTACAAGGTTTATGTTACCACCAGGGGAAAGGAGATAAGACTCACCGGCATATTGTGAGAAATATAAAGGCCTACTCTAAGCTAATATAAGGCCAATTCTGAAATAATAATAAAAGAAAATGAGTTTTATGTAGTGATCAGCTCACAGAAATAACCTCTGTAGGGGAGCAACACTTGGCAAATGAATTTTTAAAAAAAAAATAAGGAAAATATTTACAAACAAAGACTCTTTTGCCAGATCTCCAGCCTGTTCCAAAGGCTGCTGAGCAAGTGTCTTCTGAAAGGATCAAGTGATGTAATGCAGGACTCAGAAACCCAGGTCAGGGCCGGTCATTGGTGAGCTGGTGACAAGTCAGAAGTCAGCACAGCTATGGATGACATACAACAGCAAGGGAGGAAGCGGCGCAAATTCAGGCAGGATTGAGGTGGCAGCCAGGGACTTGGCCAGGGCAGTCCTGCAGGAAGGCCATGGCAGGACCAAGGACAGCACCGGGCAGCAGCTTTAATTTATTTCTACCCCCACTTCCCCGGCAGCTAAAACCAACACACAGCCTCTCACCTTAGACCAGAACCCCGTGCCTTTAAGCTACATCACCTGGTTCATTTATTTTTCTGACCTGATCATATTCACGCAAGCATTCTCAAGTATTTCCAGAAGGAGATGGAGCATAAAATATAAACATGTATAAACTATTCCTACACAAACAGATGTGTAAACAAATAAATGGCCAAGCAAACCCCCAAATAAAATGTTCCTCAGCCAGACATGTTCTTGAGGTTCAATAGGGGGGAGGCCTTTGAAGTGGGACCAAGTCGATCTCAGAGCATGGTGAGGCCAGCAATGTGACGTAGGCTGCATAACACATAGTCCAAGTGCAAAAAGCAAGCACTGATTTAGAGGGACACACAATAAACTCATTGGGTGATTTAGATACTTTTTCAATATACTGAAATATGAGTTAAAAATAACACTGTGCTGGGCGTGACAATTATGGAAGGATCAGCAGCGAGTGAAGACAAGTGTCAGAAGACAGAATTGAGAGGAGATGAGGGAATAGTAACAGGTCTCGGGGGTGTGCTGTATGTCAGGGTCACCTTGACGGCCTCCACTTCTGGACCCTGGATGGACTCCTGGGGAAGTACATAACACGGTTCCACTCCTTTGTCGACATGCCTGGTCCCCCTTCCCTCCCCGCTTTACTTGGGCTGTAAGTTCTTCCAGGACAGGACCTAACTCCTCTTTGGTGTCGTTTCCATGGGAGTTCCTGGCAGGCAGTCCGTGTAACAT